AAACCCCTCAAACAACAACTAATAATAAGAAGAAGCCCACTTTCCAAGTGGCTACCTCTACTTCAACTAATACTCCATAGGAAAAATTTTCTCAACACTTCTAAAAGTAAAGAAACCAATAGGAAAACTTCACACTAGTGCAGAGTTCAAAGTCCAGCCACCCAATGCGTAACTGTTACAACTTTTAGGAATCTGGTGGGAGAAAAACTTCGCACATTTTTATAAATTTCAAAAAAATTTCGTTTTGAATTTTGTATAATACATCTTCCAAAAAAGGAAATTCCATAATTTTAGCCAGAATTATAAATTAATTTAACTTGATTTGACTTGACTCGATTTTATTAAATTATTAACTCAACTCGACTCAATTCAATTTAATTGTAATTTTCAATTTGATTCAATTCAACTTAACTCAATTTGATTTGACCAATTCATGAGTTAATTTGATTTATTTTGGAACACTAAGTTTTCTAGATCCTATCTTCAATGTCTGGTGATCACAGGACCTACTAAGTTAAATTTTTATTGATGTTTATTTACTATTTTATATTTAGGGTTTAAAATTTGTGCGCACCTGCGCATGTGCGCACCCCATGGATATATTATATATAAAAGTCAAAAATGACATTCTAAACCCTTCATGGCTCATTAAGTAAAGTTGTAGAATAGGCAAAAATACGCATAGTAAATAAATTTTTAAGGCTCTATAATATGTACGTGAGAGTTGCGGCATGAATATTTAAAAAAATCGGGATTTTACTAAAATCACGTGATAATTAATGATCGACAAATTTACTATATAAAAATTACCAAAAATGGAGGGGTGCGCACATGCGCGGGTGCGCACAAATTTTATTTCCTTATATTTATATCAATATACTTTTTAATACAGTACACCCTTACTATAGCGAATTTTTTTATAGCGAATAACTTACTATAACGAAGAAAAGTACGGGTACATATTTTTTAATAATTAAAAATTCTTATTATACCGAATTTTAAAGTAAAAATTCTCTAACTCGTAATACGAATTTAAATGTTAAGACAATTATAATAAAATGACCCTTCATATAGCGAAGAATTTTGCTATACCGAATTTTTAAAATGTTACACAATAATTTAGCGAATTTTTGATCACATGAAATTTTATTTGAACAATTAGAACAATTCGATTTTGCCTTTAAAGGTTAGAATTTTTGTGATTAAAGTTAAAAAGGAAAATTATCATAAACAAGATCATGATTTATTTTTATTATAATACGGCAAATATAACCTTGATCAGTTAGTTCTTTTTTTTACACGTCACTATGCCCAAAACTAAAAGTGCACTAAATAAATATTCCCAAGCAAAAGGTAAAGATAAAATGAGAACTTTACCGAAAAGAGCATCTTTAACTATTGCCCAAAAGCATGAAATATGTTTTAAAAAAATCAACGAACCTTATATAAAAAATAAAGAACTTGCGGAACTATATAATGTTAGTGAAGGATGCATTAGTGATACGTTAAAAAAATCACAAAAATGGCTTGAAATTGACCCTCAAGCACCCGAAGCCCAAGGGAAAAGACAAAATAAGTTGAATTTTCCAGAAATTGAAGAAGCTCTTACATTATGGGTATTGAAGGCTCTAGAAAATGGTGTTGATATTAGTGATCAGGTTTTACATGAAAAAGCTATAGCATTTGCTTCTCTATATAAAGTTGAAAATTTTAAAGGAAGTAATGGTTGGATTGGTGGATTTAAAAAAAGACATAATCTTTCTTGCTATTTAAAACAAGGAGAAGCTGCAAGCGCACCTCTTGATAAACTTGATGAATTCAGAAAAAACCTTCAAGATTTGATTCGTAATTATAGTCTTGAAGATGTTTTCAATTGTGATGAAACTGGTTTGTATTGGAAAATGGAACCCAAAAGGACGATCTCCAATAAACCTGTATCTGGAAAAAAACAATCTAAAGATCGGGTAACAATTCTCCTTTGTTCTAATGCAACTGGTACTGAAAAGCTCAAACCAGTATTCATTCACAAATATAAAAATCCTCGTCCTTTAAAGAATTTATCCAAAACATCTTTACCAGTAGAATATTATTGGAATTCAACAGCTTGGATGCAAGTTTCTATTTGGAATGATTGGATTCGTAAGTTTGATGCACAAATGAGATTAAAAGGAAGAAATATTCTTCTTCTTATAGACAATGCTCCTGTCCATGCTTTATATGAAGGTGTGGAATTGACCAATATAAAAATTGAATTTTTGCCTCCTAACACAACTGCACACTTACAACCATGCGACAAGGGTATTATAAATAGCTTTAAGGTACTAAAATTTCAATATAATTTTAATAATTAAGAAATTCTAACTTACAATATTTGATTTTGCAGGCACAATATCGAAAATTGCTCCTTCAAAATCGTATCAAGGCTTTTGACTTTCAACAATTAACAGGAAATAGTAAATCTCCAATCAATATCAAAAAAGCTATTAAATATGTTGTGTCAGCCTGGAATAAAGTTCTTCCTAAAACTATATTTAACTGCTGGAATAAAACGGGAATTTTGCCAGATGATACGAATTCTTATAAAGAAATTAAAGAGAATAAGCATAATGAGACAGAAGAAAATGAATATAGAGAAATTCAAGATTTAATCAATAAGCTTGAGTATACACACCCTCTTACTGCTGAAGAATACATTAGATTAGACCAGGAGAATGAAAATGCCGGTATACCCCCATCTGAAGAGCAGATCGTTGCTATTCTTAAAGAAAATAATACTATGTCTGATGATGAAGGTGATAAAGATATTATTTCAGTAACGAGTTCTGAGGCCTTAATTGCATTTGATACAATTTTTAACTATGTAGAGCAAAATGATAGTCAAGATATTTTTGATAAAAGTGCATTAAAGGTAATGAAAAAAATTAGAAAAATTGTTTATAGAAATAATTTTTTTTCTAAAAAACAATCAAGTTTAGATTTATTCGTTACAGATAAAGGTAGTAAACTCAAGCCAAATAACACTGCTATTGATCCAGTTGATAATAATACTATGAACAGGGAAAGGGAAGGCGATAATAATATTATTGATATTGAAAATTTTGATTTTGAAGCTTTGTATTTTAATGAGTTTGATTTTTATAATTATGAAGAAGACCAAGGTTTTATTGAATATCAAATCGATGAGAATAGTCTTTATAAATGATGTACGACAGTATTACAGTACTCGTATCATACTCAATTAAGTAATAGTCATTGAGTAACAAAAATATAAAAAGTATTTTGTATGTGAGTTCATAATAAATAACAAAGAACACTCGTTAATTGAATATAATTGGTTTTGTTTTATTGTTTTTTTATCTTTATTGCCAAATAAATTTGGTTGGTATTTAATAATAGTGCGATAATGCATTTATCACGTGATTATATGATTTTTTTGATATAACGAAAATCTTATGTTTATTCGTTATACACTATAACGAATTTTCTTACTATAACGAATTTTGATCTTCAGCACACAAGATTCGCTATAGTAAGGGTGAACTGTATATTTATATATTTATACTTTTTTATTATTTTATTTTATATATATATTTAATAGTAAGATTGTTTGTTTAAAATTTTCCAAAATTCTATAATTAGTTTTTTCAAATTTTACTATAATTTTAATATAATTTCGGCATAATTTTAGCAGTTTTAGCATTTATAATAAATTTTATTAGATTTTGCTTTTCTATAAAATTTTGCCAACTTTTAATAAGACTTTTATATAATTTTAATAAAATTTCACTATTTCAGCATTTTGTTAAACTGCTAAAATCCTCTAATTTTTCCAGCAACTTTACTTAATTATATAGATTATTTATTATGTAAAATAAATTAAAATTATTTTTTCAATTTTATTTTTTACTAAGATTTTAAATATATGCAAGTACAAATTGTTTTAGTTAAGAGACTGCATTTTTTTTTAACTTATAAGATCAGTACTATCTGAAAAAGCTTTTTTAATTAATGTACTAGTTGCTAAAATAAATTTAAAATTAATCTTAATTTAAACAATAAAAACTTAAATTTTAAATAATGTATTATTACCAAAAATTGTAAACTAAATACAGGTTATTACTTCAAGTGTAAATATTGGAATTCATTCATCTATTAGAATTCAATTATAAAACAATTTATTTTTTTATTTTTTTTTTTTCGCAGCGCATTTGCAGTTTTATTAAAGTAAAAAAATAAAGAAAAAATATATACAAAGTAAAATTCTTTAAATTAAAAGAAATTTAAATTGTAAAATTTATTTATAAAATTATTTAATTAGTATATTTTTCACTATTATAATAAATATTTCATTAGAACAATTAAACTTTCTAAATATAAATTCAATTCATTTTTATTTCTTGATAAATGCCATTTTATATATATATAACTAAGAAGATCATCATCAGTGATAAGATTTTCATCTTAAATATTTTGGTTTATTTTTAGTATATATAATATATATATATATATATATTTTAAATTGCTGCAGCATATTCAGCAGTTTATTAAAATAAGTGATATATTAACACTACATATATGATATAACATAAAACTTAGATTAACTTATTAACTACTAAACCATTCGTCATCCAATAAAGAATTCCATATGTATACTGTTAGGCGAAATTTGGACTAGTATAAGAGTAAGTTCAGTATAAAACTGCCCTTTCTTAAAGAAGATTTTCTCCTCTCAGTTTATATCTTTAGAAAAGATTTCATGGGACTTATTATGAAATAATAAAAACAAAAAAAAGGATTTTAACAAAAAAAATCAGGGTAAAAAAAAGGGTTAATAATTAAGACTAGATAGCGAGTATTCTATCATCCCAAAAACTCCTATTTGGCCTAAACTCCTGTGCCTTAACTTTAGCTAAAATTGTTAGTTTGTTATTGCCATCAAAGTCTTTTTGTTTCAAAGTAGATTGCTTCTTTTTTTTTTCAAAGACTTTCCTTTCTGTTTTTTATTCTGATTCTTGTTTTAGTTCTGCTTCTAAGTGGAATCAGTTTTTTTTGGTAGCTTATTACTAGGCCAATTCAAAGTAAGCGAAAAATAACAAGTCCAAATACCTTTAAATTCTTTGAAGTTGAATTCTGTATTAAGTGTTTTATCCAAGCTTGCCCAAGTATTGAAATATACAATCAACTTTCTGTATTCACAGTTTTGAATAATTTTAGTAATAGATTTAAGTACATCTATAACAACAGCCTGAAATCTCTTACATTTTTTACGCTGCTTTAAATTCCAGAATGCAAAAAACCATTGTATAGGCATTCCTTCAAATGGAACAGTCTAAACTCCATTATTCTAATTCAGCAAAGCTTACTTGTTGAAGTTTATAAACACAGTCACAGTCAAATATTTTTTTTGTCTTAATTTTGAACACAATTACTTGATTCCATTTTCTTAGATTCATAAGAATATCGAGTTGCAACATGTAATTGTTTTAGAGCATTAGCCTGAAATCGTTTCTATTCTTTCTTTATTTAATATTCTAATTGGCTAAAAATTATTATACAGATAGTTTTCCAAAAGAAGCAGTTTATATTCCATTATTTTATAGCTTTATCGCTATTTTATTAAGGTCTACTAATACTATATAAATAGTAATATACTTCTGTTGTGATTTAAATTTAATTACAATTATTTAATCTCAAGCTTTTAAGTGATTAAATATATCGAATTGGATCCATTTTGAGGAGATATTTATACTGTAATTTTTTAGACATTATTCTTAATTTCAGAAGTATATTTAATTATCCTTTAAATTATAAGAGCTAAAATTAATTTAAAAAATTTTTAAATCTTTAAAATATCTTAAGATCTAGTAATTATAGAAAGATAAAATTAGATTTGTTAAATTCCTTTTATTAAAACATATTATTTAATGGTAATAAAATCATAATGCTAAAATTAATAAATAGAAAGTTATATTAATTTACAAATTTTTAGATTTAATAAAATATTCTATCATATAATATTTATAGAAAAGTAATTTTTATTATATCAGATTCTTCTCATTAAGATATATCAAATGGTAGTATTTTTATATTTCTAATAAAAGATATTTTAATTTAAAAAATTTAGTTACTATTTATTATAATTTGTTAATTATTTATTTTTAAAATTATTAATCATATTAAACTTTTTTTCGATTTTTATTTAAAAAATACTATAGAATTTATCATAAAAATATTGGTTTATGTAATAAAATATTTTAAGATATTTAAAAGTGTCTTTAATTAAAAAATGAAATTGCAGGCAAATTTGCTTGTAAAATAGTTTAAGAAATAACAGTACTAATAGTTTTAAGTGCAGATATAGCTAGTTATTTTTTGGTAGTTGTAGAATGATTTTTACTAGTAAAACTAAGCTGAAAAATAGGTGCTATTTTTTTTTTTTTATTCTTATTAAAAGTGAATAAATTCAGTTTTCTAAAGTTACTATTCAAGTTTTATTTAACTATTTCTGTATAAGAAACTTTCCTGTTCTTTTTTTTAGTCGTAAAAGAATTAGCACTTACATTAAAAGAATTGATAGGTTTTTTAAGTTGTGCTACAGTTTTTGATTAATGTGTTAGATTTTCAATAATTTTCATATTTACAGAAACTTCAAGCTTTCAAATGATATCATTTTGATATCATTTTGATATTGATTCAATATCAATTTAATATCAATATAATATCAAAATAAAATATTATCATTTCAATATCAAAATGATATCAAAATAGTATCAATGATAATTGAAATGATATCAAAACAATATATTTAAGTTTAACTTAAAGATGTCATTTTGATGTCATTTCAATTATTTTTTTGATATCATTTTGATATTAATTTAATATTAATTCAATATTAATATGATATCAAAATAATAATACTTTATTTCAATATCACATTGATATTAAATTGATATTGAATCAATATTGAAATAATGTCAAAACAATACTGTTAAAATAAACTTAACAATATCAATTCTATATTGATTAAAAATGGTAAGTTTCTGTAAAATATCTATCAATATAGCCTCTTTTGAATTGGATTGTTATGATATATTACATTATAAGTTATATTTTCTCTGAAAATACCATTAAAAGTTTAAAACCATTATTAATGTTGAGTTGTAAATACTGAAAAAACCCAAGTATAATATAAAGAAAATAATAAAGCTTGTAGTTCATATCCTTCAATTTAAAGGTTCTAAGGATATCCTGATATAAAGATAATATTTCTTCATAAGGTCCTAATTTACAGTTACTATTATTATTTATTATTGTAAAAAAATAATAAATATTGATAGTATATTAATAAAAAATATATTACTACATATTCATAAAGATTAATATTTAACAAATAATATATTTTAGTTATTTGGTTAAATCTAGAAGCTTTACTTTTTAAAATAATTGTAGTAAAATAAAGATATTTTTTTATTTAAGTTTGCAAAATGATTAATACTTTTTAATATTGATACTATTTTATAATTCTAAAAATTTAGATATTTTGTATTTAAAGTGAATTATATGAAAAAGCATTATTTCGATTTTGCCAACAAAAAATTAAGACATTTTTTGTTATGTAGTTAACTTGTTAGTGTAGCTTAAAAAATATACTGCGCCATCAATCTTAACCGACTTGACGACTCTTGACGTGCATATTTATATCATGACGTAAGACGTGATCTAGACGTTTATAATCCTTATTATTTGTATCTTTTGCCAAATGATTGAAATATGCGAACATGAGTAGTCAAAATTTTCAGAACCCTTTTCAAATTAGCCCAATTTTTTTCACGGTATAATTTTTTTCATATTACTTCTATTTGAATAGTTCAAATAATTTATATTATATTTAATTATAGAAACATAATAAAATCAATAAAATCGAACAAGTGTATAATAAAGAGAATATTACGAAAGGTTTCATAAATAATAAAGAATATGAACTGAATAAAAGAAAACTTGAAAAAGTCAATGCGCCGATTAGTCCTACAATAAGGTATAATAAATCAGCAGTTCTAATGAACTGTACAAGCCATTTATTTATTTATTTATTTATAATAATAGAACGCCACCTTTATGGACGTTGAATAACTTTGATCTTGGATCTGGTCTCGGTAAAGGACAATTTGGTCGTGTTTACCTTGCAAGAGAAAAAACGAGCGGGTTTATTGTTGCTCTCAAAGTATTAAATATATCTGAACTGATTAAGAATAATGCGGAAAAGCAATTGTTGCGCGAGGTTGAGATTCAAAATAATCTAAGGTAAATAACCTTATTCCTCTGTTTCTTATATTATAATCCTTTAATTTTAACTTACATAACCTTACAGGCATCCAAATATTCTCCGACTTTACGGTCACTTTTATGACAAAAAATATGTCTTCTTGATTCTTGAATACGCAGCTAAAGGAGAACTTTTCCGACATCTCAGAAAATGCACCAGATTTACAGAAAAAAGAGCTTCGAAAGTATGCATTAAATCTTTAGTTCTTAGTGAAATTAAGAATTTAATTTCACATTTTTGTGCGAAATATCTTTCTCTTATTTATTAGTATATTGCGCAAATGGCTGGCGCTTTGGGGTATATTCACAAGAAACATGTGATTCACCGAGATATCAAACCCGAGAACTTATTATTAGATTTGGATGATCAACTTAAAATTGCAGATTTTGGGTGGTCAGTACACGCTCCAAGTCAAAGGTATGCAACTAAGCAATATTTGTATTCACTTTTTTATTAGTTTTTTAACCTCATTATTCGTTTTTAGACGTAAAACATTGTGTGGCACTAAAGATTATCTTCCTCCAGAAATGGTGGAAAATCAACCTCACGATGAAAAAATCGATCTTTGGTCATTAGGTGTTTTATGCTATGAACTTTTGACTGGAAATGCCCCGTTTGAAGAATCAGCTAATGGAAGAGACACAACCTACAAACGGATAGCTAAGGCTGATTTTACAATTCCAGATCATGTATCAGTTGACGCCAGAGATTTGATCAGTTCGGTAAGATGTGTAATTTTTAATTTTTAACTATTCTTTGATTTAGAATTAATTTAATTTATACTTCTTTATTAACAGTTATTACAACGAGATCCAAATAAACGTTTACCAATAAAAAATGTGTTAAATCACCCTTGGATTCTTAAACATCAAAAGAATTCCAATGTTCTTCGAGTGACTAACAGATATTATTGTTTGTAAACATGTTTTAAAAATAGAAATTTTTGAATTACTAATAAGAGTTGATGTCATACGGGTCAATAATACATTTTTCAATTCTTTATATATATTACTATTTGGAATGCACCAACAAAATAATGTTGAAACTTCAGATAATAAATAAATAATAAATAAACAAGATCTTTTTTACAAATCTGCAAATATCTAGTATCTACACTCATTTCTACATGAAGTTATGGTGTGATGGTTAAAGTTAAGTGGTTCTACTCAGTCCTACGTGGTCTTTGAGATTGGACCGTCACTGCAGACTATATGTGGCGCAGCGGGACCGAGGTGACTTCCCTAGCGTAACCTGAAAAAAATGTCACGAAATGGCCGGCATTACGCAACTTGACTGAAATTAAGTGTGGCGCACTTGTGACGAATAATGTGTGACGAATAAGTTTTTACCTACTCGAAAAAAACTGAGTCCCTCGGATACTTATAGAAAATGGAAACGCAGTGGAATGTGACGGTTGTGACAAAAAAGTCACGTGATTTTTCATGACATTTTTTTCAGGTTATGCTGGAAAAGTCGACCAAGGTGATTACCTGCAATTTAAAACAAGAGAAAACTTAACCTAGGCCAAGGGTTTAGGCTTCTTATCCTAGACCTGGAGGTAGTGCTTCGATCCGGATGGGTTTTTAACAAATCAATCCGTGATTTATTACGGTTTGGCAACGGTTTATTTGAGTTGGAGCTATAAGTTTGGCCAAAATTAATAAAATTTGTAGAAGTATAACAGGACCCCGAACAATATATATATATGTCAGATGAAAATTTCAAAATTTATTAAGATCAATAAGCAAACTATTTTCAATCCTGCTAAGCAAACTCTTATTATAACATTAAGATTTTTTATACTACTAAGCAATTTATTTTGTGACTTTATAAAATTTTATCTTTTATTTATTGATTACTTTATTAACTAAATTGATATTATTACATCATATTAATAATACTATTTTTAATAGTATTACGGTTAAAATAATTAAAAGTATCACGTGCTACTCCTGTTAAAGTTAATGAACTATCACCAATTATTACACCATTTGATTTAATATGATATATAATATTTTGAGGACAATGATGAGTAAATAACATATAACCTTCAACAGTTTGGCTTGCAAAAATATTGAGATGAATAGGTAAATATACTTGTAACGAAATATATGATAAATCTTCAATCTGAGTTACCGCATTTTGACTATAACAATGGTTACCATAACCTTCATAATACATTGCTATTACTTTAGCAATACAAATTTTCATCCCATATAGTACAATTACATAGTCACCTTGCTGTAATGGAAAATCTTGAGTAATATTTGCTGATTCAAGATAAATGACTAAATAAATAGCAAATTATTAATATTAAAATTATGTAAATAAATTATATATTTGATATTATATTTACTTTTGTTTGTAATTCTATCAATTTGTTTTTGTCTTGATAATTCAAATTGTTGTAAATTTGCAAGATTAGCTGTCATTGTTTTCCAATTTTCTTTCCATCGCTTTTCACGTTGTTTTACAAATCGTATTTCAGGATCATCGTTGTTTGTAAGATGTGAAATTATATGACTAGCCTTATTTGGATTAATAGTATTTTCTTTTTCATAACCAATTATATGTGCACAATTTTGTCTTTCAATTGGTCTTGAATTGTATGCTTCATGATGCTTTCATAATGCAATCATAACCGAATAATTTAGCTCTCCTGTTTGAAAAATATATCTAATAGTAGGATCTTTTAAGATTATGTTAATACTTAATAATGTATTATTAAAAGTTTCAATAAATGTATAAAAAAAAATAATAATAATACCATGAGTAAGTTGCTCATTATAAAGTATTCTTGTATTATTTAAAGTTGAAATAATTTGTGTCTGGATTTGATAATCGATATTCTCAATATTTGATAGATCAAGAATATCATCAACTGTTTCAATAGCATGTTTGGAAGCTTGACTAAATGCATCAGAAATTTCTCTATCAATTTCAAAAAATTCATTTGGATCATTTCCAAATTCAGAACTTAACTTATTGATTCCAGTTGATATTTCCAAATTTTGCTCCTCTATTATTACAAATGGCTGTAATAATGAATTATTCGTATTTGTAGTAGGTTTCATATCAAGTGCTTTGGAGAGTTCAAATGCCAATTTGTAAGAAAATTTAACAGTTGAAGTAATATCAGTATCTGACGGCCAAGCACATAATTTTGTTAATTTGCTTGAACTAATATTTCCCATATTATAATCAAAATGATAACCTATTTGAAAGTAATATAAAAAAGGGAGATTTAATTAGTCAGCAAAGTTTAATCTAATTATAAACTTAATTTTTATTAGTAGTTTTGGCTTCTTTCATTAAATTAAATAGAATCAATAATCATAATTATGCTAATTTGCCTGCTTACCATCACGAACCGATTTTTCTTTTTCCAATGTAATATTTCTTGTTCTTAACGCTTTGGCGCATTGAGAAATTTTTGGAACTAATTGTAACAATTCTGAATAATTAAAATCAGAATTAATTTGACGCGCCATACCAAAAAAGTGTTCACAGGCCTCCGATCCATGCATCCATGGTAAAAATGGATAATTTGGGTAATATTCCCGATGTGCTTTTACCAACAAAACCATAGACTCTGCAAGAGAAATAAAAATTGCAAAGCTTTGGTCCGCTAAAAAATTTTTACTAACAGAAATAAAATCAGGATACTTTTCACTCATATTCGTTACATATTTCCTCCAAAATCGTAAAAAGAAAAAGGACGTCATTGACATTCTAATTCTTTCTAAAGGAGTTATTTCACGATTTAGGTAACTATCGATAAGTTCGCCTAATTTTCAAATTACAATTAAATTATGAAAAAATAAATTGTAATAATTATATTATAATAACAAAATTATTTTATCTAACCCATTATGAAAAGGTATACAAAAAGTCCTCGCATGTCCTCTTCAATATTATGAGTTCCATGACAATTTCGTAAATTTTCTGAACAAAATACACGATATGCCGCACCATCGTCTTGGCGATCAAGCTTTATTACATCATGATGATACATTACGGAATTAGAAAGATTTGACAATTTTAACAATTGTTCAAATCGTGCAGTTGAACTTCCAAGGGTAAGAAGACGGGCGCCAGACATAATTGCATTACGGCTAGTTTTTTTAGCATGCTTAGGATCTTGTACACGAATAACAGGTCCTACGTTCGGAAAAATTGGGCAGCTGAAATCAACTCCAAGTTTATTATTTTTAAAAGTCAACCGTTCGTCTGTTGAATATGACTGAATTGCAACTTGGGCTTTAAATTCAACAATAGCACCATCTGATCCGATTGATAAAATTGGAAGGTTAAGCTGTGGTGCTATCTGAGTTAATAATTCTTGATGAAAGCTGGTTATGGTTGACATGTTATCAGATCCGTTATTGGCAATTAATGCAATAACTACTGGAGGAAAGTTCGGCAATGGTATCTAATAATTTAAATAGTAAGTATCGTTACTTACATTATATAATTATTTTGAATAAACAAATTACCTGCAATATATAAGCGCGCACATCTTTTGCAATCGCTTTTTTTGTTTTAATATTATTAATAATTGGTTGAATGTCCTCATATTTATTGATTTTAGTTTGTTCAGTCGATAGTGTTGACCCAACAATACAACCTAAAACAGGATTATAGCGAAGGGCAGGTTTCAATTTGGTATTATCGGACATAGCAACAATAGGTCCCCGATAATTTAATGTATCAATTAGCCTTTTAAATTTGGCAACATTTTCAAATGAAAGGTTAGGATTTGTGAGGGTGTCTTCATTATTAGTCCGAAGTTTACTAATTTTTATAAAAATTGTTAATATTTTAGAAAGGTTAACAAATGAAGCAAGCAAACTGAACTGAAGGATACCGTATATTTTGAATTGTACGTCCTTCCAAATTTTGGCGAAAGAGATCAAGGGCTCGAGTACTGAAACTTCCTAATATAATAAGAAAGTTTGTAAAATCTTCATTATATTGAATATTTTGCTTGCCCTTATTATTATCTTTACGAATTGCAGCTTGGACCATAACTTCACAGAGTCCTGTAAATACAGGTTTTTCTTTAAATGCACCATTGGTTGCTTTATCTGCTAATATAATCCATATACTTGTATCATAATTGTCCTTAATAACAGACCAAATTTCATGAAGATCCTGATTTTGCAAATGTTTTTTTAAAGAATTATTTTCAAAATAGAATTTTGGTGTAAATTTAAGATTTTCAGGTGCCGGTTTTGGTATAGTAAGACGATGTGCCAATATAGGATTGTATTTTAGTAAATAACATTCATTACAAATCGTTTTTCCAGAATCGGAATATCCTGTGCATTCTTTAGCGCGTACAGCAATGCCTATTAACAATATTTGGAAAAGATTTTCATTAATTGATCAATTAGAATAAAAAAATAACGTAAATAAATATTTACAATCTTTATCGACACGCCATTGAGATTCTGCATAAATTTTTCGATTTAATGCACGTTTCTGAAATGGCTTAAGTTTTTTTCTTGTAAACTTATGAGGAAATTTTCCAGGATATATTTCCTTAGCAATTATTTCAACACGACGAGCTCCACCATAACATGCAGGTGTTCTATCAACATATTTTGCAATCAAATCTGAACGCAATCCTAAACATGGCTTTCTTTTTCTACCAGTTTGATTAGTTGCTGGATTAATAATCTCTATATTAGCATTTTCTTTTTCATTAATTCCATCCTCATTTTCATCTACTGTAATAATATCGTCATCATCCATTGCATCTTCTACCTCACTTTCCCAATCATTCCAATCATCATCTGAATTTACATCATCGTCATCTTTTTTATCAGTTGTTGTAGGATTAAAAAAGCATAAAATACTTTTTTGTTCATTTCGTTTACATCCCGGACCATTTGCATGGAGGTTAATGTAATCTTCGTCATATTTCCTATTAAGTTTTATTACAACTCCACATATGCAGATTACCTTTTTAGCACGTACAACTTTAGCAACAAATGGATGTCTTTGTAAACGTTGTTTTGAGTATTTCCAGCCACCCATAATGTGCATAAAAAATGTGTGTATATGAAAATAAAAGATAACAAATATGCAAAGATGA